CTCCAGAAGCGGTGAATGCTCCAACACTGGAAGTTTTTAAGAAGAGATTGGACAGCCATTTGTCTGAAATGGTATGGGGTCTCCTGTTTGAGCATGGGGTTGGAGTAGCAGACCTCTAAGGTCCCGGCTTGCAACTCTGTTATTTGCAAGGTAGACGTTCCACAGGAATTGACCAATCTGAGTTGAATCACCCCCCCCCCATCCCCATACTACAGGCACAAGAAGAACACACACACACATAAAATTAACTTACAGTTGCTTTATCTAAAACCTTCACTGAACCTTTATCGGCCACGTTGTGCTTTCGAAGTGCTTCTTCCAGGGTCCACAGTGGCAAAGTCTCCCATTTTCCAAACACCACTAAGTCAATATCGCTGGAAAGAGAAGGCAGGAGATTAATACTCCGTTCAGGTGCATTCTGGAATCAGAATGGGTAGATTTCTGCAGAAGAACCAGCCTATCACTTTGTACAAAAAAGACTCCGAGCTTTCTAAGGGACACCTCCTTCAGATACGCTTCGGGCACTTAATGAAGACTACTTCCTGGTCTTCGAGTTACGGAAACATTAGTGCAGGGGTAGGCAACCTTGGCTCTTTTGTGACTCGTGGACTTCAACTCCCAGAATTCCCGAGCCAGCCATGCTGGCTCGGGAATTCTGGGAGTTGAAGTCCACGAGTCACAAAAGAGCCAAGGTTGCCTACTCCTGCATTAGTGCATCCACCCCATCTTAGATGTATAAATCTGTCCGATGACTAATCTCAGCCTTCCTCGGCTGAAGGCTCTTCCCAACCGACAAATACTCATTTCCAGTGTATTCCAGTCAAATGTTGTTAGAACGAGATAAGCTGAGGAATAAATTGGGAATGGGGAGGGGGAAGGCAGAGCTCCCCCCCCCCCGCAAATATAGCGCTCGTTTAGTGACCACAATTGGAATTGGCAACTCGGTTAAGTGAAGCGGTCTCTAAATGAAACCGTGACTGTGTTTAAGATTTTACTTCAGTCTTTCTTTGGCTTTACAGACCTGTGAAGGACCCTAATTGTGAGGACTTGTCGTAAAGTTACTTTCCCGTCACTGTTGCCAAATAAGGATGAGCTCTAGGCCGCGTTGCGTGCAGGAAAGATATAAAATGCAAATGCAATCAATAAAAGGCACTAACCTAGTAGGCAAATATAAACCAGTCTTAAAACTTCCAAATATCTGCACCTAAGGGAGAAGAAAATCCAAACACACAAATTAAAACCTTTCGCGATAAGCATAAAGAATCGGCAGCAATACAGACTGGAGATCATCCAGTATATAGGATTAATCTAGAGATCAAGCTAAGCCATAAGCAAGCAGACATTGAATATGATGTCTGAATGTATGTTTCTGGAGAAACCGAAGAACGAAGCCATTGCCTTTTTTAAGTTTATCCATGGCTTCACTTAATTATCCACTTGCTGTAGGACAGGGGTAGGCAACCTTGGCTCTTTTATGACTCATGGACTTTAACTCCCAGAGTTCCTGAGCCAGCCATGCTGAGGGAAAAGGGAGAGGTTTCCAAGCTGAGCCATGCTGGCTGAGGAATTCTGGGAGTTGAAGTCCACAAGTCATGAAGGGGCCATAATTCCACCATGCTGGCTGAGGAATTCTGGGAGTTGAAGTTCACAAATCATGAAGGGGTCATAGTTCCCCCATGCTGGCTCAAGAATTCTGGGAGTTGAAGTCCACGAATCATAAAAGAGCCAAGGTTGCCTACCCCTGCGGTAGGAGAACAAAGCGAGTCTAAAGTCCGACATTCTGCAGAGTCTTCGCAGCTGCGTCCACTCATGGATATGTTTGCTCAAACAGATCTGGTTAGCAGACAGCTTTCTAAGTTTGCAGACAACCGTGATCATTGCAGCAGCTTTCAGAAATCCTAGCAAAATCTCTGGCTACTACTTCTCTGAAGCTCCTTAATCTCTTATCTTGTGATGGACCCGGGTCAGAATCCCTGGGACAAGCACCCTCCAGATGATGCTCAAGAATCATTTTCAGATTTGCATACCCCACCAAGGCAATAGTAATAGCACTTAGATTTATCTACCGCTTCACAGTGCTTTACAGCCCTCTCTAAGTGATTTACAGAGTCAGCCTATGGCCCCAACTATCCAGGTCCTCATTTTACCGACCTGGGAAGGACGGAAGGCTGAGTCAACCTTGAGCCAGTCAGGATCGAACTCCTGGCAGTGGGCAGAGTTAGCCTGCAATACTGCATTCTAAGCACTAGGAAGGAAGGAAGGAAGGAAGGAAGGAAGGAAGGAAGGAAGGAAGGAAGGAAGGAAGGAAGGAAGGAAGGAAGGAAGGAAGGAAGGAAGGAAGGAAGGAAGGAAGGAAGGACGGACGGACAATAGCACTTAGACTGTTGCATGCTAGACTGGGGCATGTTGTCCCCAGCAATCTGGGTCCTCATTTTACCGACCTCGGAAGGATGGAAAGCTGAGTCAACCTTGAACCGATGAGAATCGAACTGCTGGCAGTCGGCAGAATTAGCCTGCAATAGACTGCATTCTAACAACTGCGCCACCACGGCTCAATAATCACAGTGAAGGCCCATTCAAGAAAAGCTTCACACTGATGGGAACTGCATGCTGTTCATCCTTTTAAACAAGGGCCTGGCTTTCTTCTTTAGGAGTGATCTAAGTTGCTTCCTTCCTTTGGCAGCTGTGTTATCCCGATTCCAGGGTAATTAAAAGCCTCTCCCAATCGCCCTAATGGTGAAGCCCGGTTGATGCCAAGAACGGCTCTCACTTACTAGGAATGTTTGTGTCTAAGCACATTCCCTGGAGTAACACAGAAATGACACAATTGCTGGCTTCTATAAATAGTTTAAGAAAAGCATGCT